TGAAATAAAACAGCAATTAGGATCTGGCTGCCAGAAGACCGTAACGGGTCTTCTGGGTCTGGGGTTTGTCCCAAGATGGGACGACGCATGACTTAATAATCCTGAACACGTAGAGATCTGAATATTACGTTTTAGCCCTGTTCTGATAGCATGAGCAGCTGTTTATATTTCCCGCGGGTGAGTGAAAACAATGATAAGCAAATCAAACGAATGTCGCACTCGAAATTAAAATAACTGACTATTTCAATACCTTTTGACACAGCGCGGTATGGTGATAGCGGAGGGACCACGCCACTTTATATCGATAAGCAAAAGCAGACGACTGTCAAACTTTGAAAGCCCACTAGCGCGAATGAGGTTAAGGAAACTTCCCCAAGCCCGCACACCGATCCTCAGCCTGACAGAACGACAGTGAGAGAGCTCCGCTCTGAGTCTTTGGACGCTATTGCAAGAATCGTGAATATATATATACCTCGTACGTGGGAAAATACGCCTCTTGAAATCAAGAACGACACCCATTCCCCCAAAAGACGCCATACCTAACCCTATTGACTACAGGCATATTCCGGTTTCCTCCGGTTTTCCCGGTTACGAATCCCCCCTCTGCGCTGGTTGACAAAGGATTCTCATCATGGATGTTGAATGACCGCCTTAATACAGCGAGAGTGGGGTCCTGCCTGCCGCACCCTATCCCTACATTCTACAAGATAAATCCAGCTATTATTAGACTCACAGCTGCTAGGAAGCTGGGCCATTCATTGGTGAGCGAACATCTGCAGCTGTATAGGTAGCTCTAGAACTCGAAGAGTACACTGCAGACAGAGCGCTGATAGAATCACCGGGCTAGGCCCAGTTCATCGACATTGTGTCTTGGATTATACGACTTAGACTAGGTTTTCCTTACAATGATAAATTGCAATCTACAATGTGATCCCAATAGCTCGTGAATGAATCTAGTGTATTTGTGTGTTTCATGGGCTACCCTCAACCAGGGGATTGCAAATTGCATCGGTCAACAAAGTGAATTCCTGGCTTAATGGTAGTGATAAGATTTTTGGTACGCTAGCTTTCATATCCCAAACTGCCACGTCGACAGCAATGTTTACCAGTCAACTGTGTTTAATGACTATTCCGTCATGGAAAAACAGCAGTATTTTGTGTCATGACGACTATATCTGTTACGCGTAAAATTTAGTTACCATTTGCTATTTAAATTGTGATTTTCGCGAAAACTAAAATATATTTGTAAATTTCAATTTGTTTAGAATCTATGGAAGTCAAGACAAAATAAAACAAACAAATATAAGGTATAAAAAATTTGAGATGGATTCGTGCATCCTCGAATGCGCTGGCTGGAACTGCTTATCAGTTTGTATAATCAATTTATGCATGTGCAACGATAATGTTTTTTAGATTAGTATTTGTACTATATTGGGGATGGAGATAGAAAAACCTACAAGGCAGTGGTGAAAGCAGAGACATATGGAGAAAACTGTCAAATGATAAAAAAAGAGTAGGCGGGACAAATTGGCAAAAGGCTTGGAACCAGACTAAGAAAACTAAAGAAGACTACACCATGTTTAGACGGTAAAGGAAAACTGACAGAGGCTGCCATTGACAAATTTGCCAGTTATTATGGCAGCGCTATAAGCAAAAAACAGTGACAATGTAGACAAAATAAGAAATGCAATTTGGGCCACATATTATAATAGAGCATCTACAAAGAAGAATCCACAACATAATCTGTGTCCCACAGGACCAGGCAGTTACTGTGAATATGAAAAAACCAAAGTATTGAAAGAAAAGTATAAATTCAAGCCAGGTTTTTCTCCTAAAATTTGTGATGTCATTAAACCCATTTACGAGGACCTGACCAGGCTGAGTTGTTAGAAAGATGTCTTGGGCCTTTTTTTCAAAATATGAAAGAAAGTTATAAACAAATGGTGTGGAAAATTGCTCAAAAATTCAACATGGGAAGCACCAACATTGTGGAAATTGCAGTAAATGTTGGTCTGTGTTTATTTAATGAGTCACACCTTAATAGGCATCCTTTATGAATTGGGTCTCACAATTGACAGTCACTGTAAAACAGAATGTCTCGATAGGGATGTTCAAAAAATTCAGCAGGCTGAAAAATGATCTCTTCAAGCCACCAGGGAGTATAGGATTGCTCTGAGGCATTCCAAACTTGATACTCAAGATCAGCAGAAACAAGAGGAAGGGCAGTTTTATGGACCTAGGATTGACTCTGACTGGTAAGCAAACATTTTTATCCACCAAATATTTAACTTTAATTTTCTTAGAATGTCGTTGTTTGCCATAGTGGGCAGCATAACAAAAGAACCAAAGTTATAATCACTGTGAAATTTTTTGAGCATGTGTCCAAGACATGTGGCTCTGGCACTAACCACTGACTGAGAACCTAAAATGTCAGAAAATTTTTCGAAAAAAATGTTTCTTAAGAAAAACTTCATGATTTTTTTATTAACTTGTTTGAAATTACCACATTTTTTCATCTTTTGCAGATTTTTTCTCTGCGCTGTATCGTGTCCACTATCAAGATCCGCGCTATTTTGCAGCTGGTTAAATCAAGATTTACTGCCGGACATTCCTGTTGTGATATTTTTTATCTGAATTTGTTTATATGTAGATTAAAGTTAAAAGTAAAGTGTGTGAAAAATTTGCACTGCTACCTTCCCCCAAACATTTTCTATGAATTTTTAAAGAAAGGCTATGATAAAGGCTATGTCATACTGTACTGCCCACCCTTAACATAACCATATTTGGGGATATCTAGGGGAAAGACCGAAAAACGTGTGCATAGTGGTGAAAACAGAACGGGTGTTAGAGATAAACGGCTTATACAAAGTCAAAATTGTGAGAAGCGATGAGGAGGATCGTTGAAGGAGATCGATAGTTGCCTTTGATGTGGGTTGTACGATAATTTGTCGACTTGTTATTTACTCATTTTACTAATTTTAGTAATTACAGTGAGACCCCACTTAACACTGTTTCAGTATTACGCGGTAGTACTCGTATTTGTTTTATATGTATGTAAATGAAGCGAGCATGCACCAACCATAAACAGTTCACTATGCAGCGACGGTGCACATTATGTATTAATGTTTCCGAAGATGAGAAGCAAAAGAACTTTCAACGGACTTTCCAAAAAAAATTTTAACCGGTATAACGGAAAGGTCGAAGGGCGCCGAACCCTTCCAACAAAAGAGCAAACAGTCTAATAAAGATCTTTGAAAAAGAAAGTGTGTTTGTGCGTGCCCGTTCCCTACTTTCTCTCTTATTTCTCACCCTTATTACAATATTACAATATGTGCTGTCAGATGGTCTTAAACAGTACTAATGTCATTCTTCTGATTCTTTGATTTGATTAAGATCATATTTTGATTGACTAACTAAAATATGATCTAGCCAGCTTCAGCTTGATTACGTGACTTAATACCACTGGATTATTTCTTATCGTTCATACTTAAAACCTTAAAGTAACGAACGACATCAAAAAATGAATTAAAAATACATGTTCCATATTGAATTAAGGAAGTACAGTAAGAACCAGCATTCGGTTGTGTATTTATCATATTTATGAATATATTGAAAAATTTTGAACATTTAGAAAAATTAAATAATTCGTTATTCTTTGTTTTATTTTACTTTTACACTGTTGTAATAAATTTACTTCTTTTACTGGAGGTTAAAGACAAAGGCAAGCAACAGAAACACATACAAATATTCGTATCAATTGATTGTAATTAAGAATCGAAAAATGATATTAATACTGCTCAAGGTCATCTAAAAATTATAGTGTTACAGATCGTTAAAATTGTCTCGATATCTAATACTTGATATAAACGTGATATAAAAGAGTACCAGAAAACTGGAATAATAGTGCACTCTTTTTCAGTGTGTATCTAAATTTCCAGGATTATTTTTCAGCAGAAAGACAATTAGTAGTCAAGTAACTCAAATAATCCCAAAGTATCAAATTTTGATGCAAAAGAGAATTATAAAATAACTTTGAAGATAAAGATAGAGTTATAACATAATATACATAATATAAATAGCAAAAAAAAATGTAAAATACAAATTATAATGGTCATGAAAATAACAAATAAAATAATAGCAAATTTATGCAAGCTGTTGCCAATCCTATATAGTTTTAACTTTGCATGAAAACAGCTATATTATGATACACAAGAATCTATGATTCTGCATGAATATTGTAATTGCACCAGAATATTCTTGATTAGAATTTTTTTTAATTATTGAACCACTACATAACTCAAGCATAATATTTTCATTTAAATGACATTATTGGTCATAAATTATGTCATTACTACATAATTCAGAATTTCAAGTCAAATAAACAAGAAATGGCGAAAGGTAATAAAACTAATACTTTTTAGATAACAGATACCTGCAAAAGTATTAATTAGTATTCAGTTCAGCACGTAATAATTGATTTTATCAACTTCAATAAGATTTAATACAAAATTTGCATATACTTGATCTAGAATTTATGTTTATATTTAAATTGTAATGGTATATACAGTGAATATGTACTTTACATTGTTTATTTTTTAGTCTCCACACGAGTAACTTGTAATTCTGATGTAACTTTTAGTTCTTTATGATACTTAATATTTAAAGTTAATAAAACACAAATAATTTTATATATTCGACTGTAAATATAATAAAACAAAAGACCATACTTATCTGTGCCAAGAGATTCTTCTAATACACTTTTCACATTGTTGCGTGCAATAAGACTATCAGCATATATTATAACATTTGGTGGTTTTACTCCTTCATGTGATAATTTCGCAGCTATTTCTGCCATGTAATTTCTGTAAGATAAAAATTTCAACAACTTTAAGAACTACTTAGTGACATAAGCATCTTATGTTTAAGCATAAACAAAGTATAAACTAGAACCTATCATTTAATATATTTTTTGTTGCAAAGCTCAGAGTATGTAACCTCCTTACCATTTTAATGTTATTTTCAATGTTATCAACTCAAAAATATAAAACTATAACATTAATAGTGGTCAAAGTTAAAAGTAAATATAACTATGAAATTTCAAATGCATAGCACAATATATTTGAAAATTACAAACATAGAATAAAATTGTATATTAGTATAACATTTGTTTATCTTTGAACATTGTAATTATACAGGTAAATGTACAAATGATGAAATAATAATTTTGAAGTGAAACTATGTAGCATTCACTTAGTTATAAAGATTAAGGTTTTTTAGTTATAACTATTCGAGAAGGTAGATGTTTGAAATTTTCTTTTCCCTCAACTCTCAATTTTAAAATATTTAAGGAACTAGAAAGTATGAAAATAAATTTTTTATTTCAAATTGTTTTTCTAAAATAAGCCTATTATTATCTAAAATTAGCTATCATTAAAAAAATTATTATTATGCTATATAATAATAGTTATTAAATGCATAATTCCCTCTTAATTTGTATGAAAAACAATATTCAGACACACATTATGGAACATAATATGATATGAATTTTTATATTTCTGAATTATTTTATATGTCAATGATTGTCTTTATGATAATCAGTAAAGCAACTGCAAAAACAGATATATCACAATATAATCATTACTGCAAGGAATGAACATAGAATTATATTATTCAATATTGATCTTTTATATTCTATTGGTGATACTAGCAAGATTGATCAAATTTTGTTGTTGTTGTTTGGTTCTGTTTTCACCAAAACGAAAAAGTAAAACTACTGTAAATATTTTATTATTTTTTTGTAAAAATTAGTGTTAGAACTAAACAATACTTATTATTGGAAAAACGTATGATCAAATCTTTTAACCTTTATTGTGCCGAACGATATATCGGTGTATAAACACGCGAAAGTGCCAACGATGTATTAGTAACCATTAATACTGAATAAATTATTTGTATGGGTAACAATAAGTAAATATTACGCCGAATAAAAATTAAATAACCGAATAATTATAAATGTTTATAATAATATTTGAATTGTATTTCAGTGTTATACTAGTTTTACGAATCGCTTATTTTGTAGCAGGTAATCCTTTTGATGCTTGCTACGCAACATGGGATTAGAATTTAGTTTTGTGTTTTGATATTAGAAATTTTATAACAAATAATTGAAAATGCAATATTTATGCTTAATACTACGTGTCCCACATTAAACTACGACAAAACGATTCTTTTTATTTATAAATAGTGTTTTTAAAGAAAACTGATTTTTCTATTTTTTTCCAATGATTTTGAATAAATATTATTAGTATGCTTCTCAACAAATATTGAAATACAATTGACATTAATTTATTCTCCCTTTATTTCGTAATACGATCCTTTTGAATTTTGTAAATATTATTCTTACTTTTTTTAAAATGATTGTTTTCAAACCTTACCAGATTACATCAAATTAGTTCGACATTCTTTGATTATGTACAATTCTTTCGGTCGATACTAAAATTATAAACAAATTGCACGGACCAAAAAAACGAACAATCCTGAGCGAAATTACATCACATGACTTTGTATGCCGGTTGGAAAGAACAAAAGACAGACGCATGTGACAAACTTTTCCTCACATCAATGCTGCCAACCCATTAAATTAAAAAATGTAGTTGTCTTTTTAACCAGTAGTAAACTATCAGTTAGACCAGTTATAAATTTACAAAATTCTATTAAAAAGAAAAAATACACAGTCGTTATACAATTACAATATCTAAATACAATCATAAATAAAAATATATCAATTTTTTTCCACATTATGCATTATTCAATATCATTTAACTTTGATTTATGGAATTTTTATTTGTGTCTAGCCATTTTAAAGATACAGCATATATCAGTAACGTGAGGCAATTTTATAATGAAGGCTTGAAATGAGCTAGTTTCAAGAATTATTGGAGAATATCAAGTAACGAGGAAAAATTATTTCAGGTAGGAAATATTCCATTGTACTAGACTGCTAAGTTTCCCTAATTTTAGCATGTCCTCCCTGCATAAATAAATTTTTATTTCTTTTTTTCCCATAAGAATTTACGCTTCGTAAATAATTACTTTTTAATGCAAAGAACAATTTGGGCTACTTGAAAATTATAAATAAATTTACATTTTGTATTTCTTTTATTTAAAAATTGTTAAAAATCTGAGAAAACGTCATTCTATTATTTAAAATTTATTCTATACCATATCAGGTTTATATTATAATAGGTTTAAAAACTGATATTAGAATAAATTATTAAATACATAATTTCCTATATTGTTTAATTTAATAAGTGTGAGAAGTTGGTCTAGATAATACTGTTCGACACGAATTTTGTTCTGTAACAACGACTACGTGTTCCTAGTAAGTTCCTAATAAGTTCCTAGTCCTGAACACGAATCCAAGATCCAAATTTTTCACCAGAGGGTCCGTGGCCTATATGCGGGAGTCGCTCGGCCCATGGCCTGTACGGTGCCCCAGATTGGGCAGCCACCTAGTGTTGAACTGACGGAGCTGTAACAAGCTTCGCAGTGTTGCAAGGTGGCTAGCCATTAGAATCATACGGAGTTATTTCACGATCTATGATGAGGTAGCAACACACCATGAGGAATTTCACGAAAAGCTAGCCAAAAGTCAATTATTCAAGTGTAAAACTTTGTTTTGCTACTATGGCACATTTGTTATATACATTTCAATGTATCAAACTCTGCACGAAATTTTGAAATATAATAACCAATTACTGAGGTATACATCAAATTTGACGAAATATGACTTACACTCTCCTTGTTAGTTAAAATATAAAATAACATAAGCGAGTGTTAATGAAAATTATCAATCCAATTATGCTTATCAAAACAATTATGCGTAAACAAAATTATTAAAAAGTCTTATTTTTATGTTTTCTAAAATTGTATTATTTTCACATGAAATAATACATCATGACGCTAAATATTCCATTCCGTGTTTAAATGAATTCTTTTAATTGTTAATAAATAATTTTTCTCTGCTTATGTACTGAAAATCCAAAATTTATGACAATTTCACTTTTTCGACAGCCAAAACATGTTGAATTAATTAAAATTTGTATAAATATATAAAATAGACAAAAATATATCTATGAAGGTACATGCATAATCCAGTACTTATTATTGGTTAAATTCAAAAGGATAAAAACTGTCAATTTCAAATTTCTAATTGCACATATGTAGGTCACAAGCAAAGTAAGATACAAATATTCTTTAAGAATTACAACTTTACTTATATGGTACTTACGTCGAACTTGTTTTAGATGATTCTGCTTTCAAACTTCTGTCATCACAAAAGATCGTTTTATCTTCTAAATTGTCGAAAGCATCGAGTGATTTACTAACAGAATGCGGAACACCTTGAATTTCAGTGGTATCGTCTGTAACCTCTGAGAGTTCATCTTGTAGTGACTGAGTTTCATGTTGAAGAATGTTTACTGACACTGGGGTAGAAACTTGACTTCTACTTTCGCTTCCTGAAACACACAAATTTACTTTTCTTAGATAAACGATTCATTTATTTACAGTTTATCTTTTATAAATTAACGAAATTCGTAAGGAGTAATATCTAACTATCAGTTAAAAAGAAACAGAAGACCGGTTTGGATTTAATAAGAGCAAAGTTTCGTTTACACTTTTAATCCGGTTTATTCTAACTGGCAATTGCGATAAATTGGATGGACACGAGACGAGACCGAGATAGACTAGACAGATACGAGACGAGACCGACATTAGTTCGCTAGCAACTAGCAACTGAACAGGTTAATATACAGCAAGTGGGAAACAATAGTCGAAAAAGAAAGGAAAAAAGACAAATAATCCTCGTCGAGGTCGATAGATCAATATTTTGCTTCTTACACGGTACCAATAATTCATCGCACAAAGCTCCTTGAGCATAGTCGAAAATACAGTTATCGGACAAAGCATAAGAAAGAAAAAAATCGTAACATAACACAAGTCGAAGGCTGTACCGAGTCGTTAAATCACGAATTTCGGATATGAAACTTCGAACATTCTATAAACATAAACCTCGAACAAATTTATACGTTAACCCTGTAGCGATCTCGAAAGATTGAGTTCGATGGCCAGTCGCAAAACCCCTGTGCCCAGGAATACGTGTCGCGGATCACGGTTCTAGAAAGATCAGAACTATTGAGAGCGTTCCGCGACGCGTGTCCCCTACGGAGACAAAAGACATAAAAAGGCATGGGCGCTCAGATATAAAAAGCGAGCTCCCAATTGCTTGAGCAGTTGTGAAGAAGCCGAATAACATCGATATAAAACACGATGAAAGACATAGAAACAAGTTTCTCTTCCAGAAACAATATTTGCACATGAGAATAATCGTCGTTTGATCACAGTTTTATGTAGGTCACGTAGTATGAAGTATAAGTATTACATTTCCGATCATTTTTAATAAAATAACCAATATTAGCCCTGAGAACGAAAGGATAACTCCATGGCACCAACCAGCATAGAATATAACAAAAAATTAAACCCGAAAACAATTTTTTAAATTCTTTTGCAATGAAATTAGACCGTTTATAACGTTTTATAAATTCATTTTGAGATAGAGCTTTAAAAAGAATAAGGCGTCATCGCATACGCAACGATATATCGACGTTGCCACTTTTCGCAAGTGTAACGCACGACGATATATCGTCGTCCGGCACTGAAAGGGTTAAGAAATATCTGTTTACAAAATTTTTATTTTACTATTGAATAATTGAAAATTCTATTCTTTGTCTGAGGTACTTTCATAATTCAAGTAATTTAGTGGATCTATTTTTTAAAACTCGTAGTAAAGGAAATTGAAATTCCACGTTATCGACATTTTCTCTAATAAATACATATTTTCGCTGATACCTATCGTTTCGTCTGACACCACACGTTGCATAACTTCGATGTCTGCGCCCGTTACAGCATTTTCTGGATACACTATTAATCCTGGAAGGTCCTTAACTTCAAGCGACTTGCATTCCTCGGATGCAATTTTGGCAGTGTTGCTTAGGGACTTTAATTTTTCTCTGTGCGTTTCCCATTCTATTTTGTCTATAAGTTCTCATAAAAATATATATGACAATTATTTTATGCTTCTTAACTTTAATTCTTAACCACTTGCGCTAGAAAGACGTGCCATGCACGTCGAGATGCTTTTGTTCCAAAATCGCCAGCGACGTGTACACCACGTCGATAGGCATTTATCGCAGAAATAAAAATGACGTGGGCTGCACGTCGGCTAACAACCAGATCGTTCATTTCTCGAGCTACAGTTCCAGAGTGCACGGCATCGCATAGTGTCACTGATATCTTGGAAATATTTCAGAATCGATACAGTATCTCGCGGCGTCAATGTAACACCTTCTGCGTGTTATATACTGTAGCGCACGGTACCGCAACCGTGAGTTTATTGGTAGCACAAGTGGTTAATTAATACATAACATAAATGTATATTTAATAAATTATACAATATAAAAAATACTATGCAGTAACAACCATAGTTCAATATATAAAACATTACACATTAGTATATTTTTATAATACTAGAATAATACATTATAAATGTTATAATACTACAGTGAGGGGTAAAACTGAATCTATAGTATGTGTTAATATTTCAACAGCAATAATGAACTTTCTCGCTTCAAAACAAAGACAGTGTTTCATTTAGCAAATTTTAAAAATTGAAACCCTGGTAGTTTCGTTAAAAAATTTTTTCAGGATCCAAATTACCACGAATCGAATCACTCGAATTTTCAGAAATCCCATAGAAGTTAATGTGTAATTTTTCGTTGCCAAGTGATTTCACTTGGAATAAGCTGGACTGTTTCATCGAACTTCGATCCTATTTGTTATAACTGCAAAAACCAGATAACATTTTACTTGTGTTTATTCATAATGACTAGTGTGCGTGTAAATAAAAATTCATTCGATGCATATTATACCATATTAACATTTTTAGTTACTATTATGTCGGTAATATACTCTACATTCAAAATATAATCACTTGAAAATGAAAAATTGCCCATTAATGGTTACGAAGTTTCTTCAAACTGTATATCTCAATGATTTAACCACTTGCGCTGGAAAGACGTGCCACGCACGTTGTGATGCTTTCGTCGCAGAATCGCCAACGACGTGGTATGCACGCCGTCAGGCAACTGTCACAGAAATACTAGACCCCGAAAAACATTTTTCAGTGAAACTACCAGTGTTTAAATTTTTACAATTTACAATTACAGGCTTTATCCTTTACATTGACTCCACGAATGTTATTGTACGATTTCTTCTCGCAAAGTTATGGCTGTTCAAATATCAACGTAGAATAGATTGAGTTTTGCTCTTCACTGTGCATAAAACATCAAAAATTATCTTTCCCACCTGTTAAACCGAAACGCTCTTGAGATTTTGATTACCCTTATAATTAGGAGTTGGAAATAGATGTCAAATTATGAACAAGAATTTTGTTCAACATTAACCAATAGTTGATCACTGAACCAACGAAAATCAAGTTCATCTGGAGTCGGCAATAATGTGAATAACATGAATAATGTGAATATTTGTAAGCAATATCAAATTTTTGTATTACAACGGAATATCTCCAAACGGTTTTTACACTTTTCATACTAAATGTTTGTTGTTATAAATGGTCGCTTATTATAGTGCGAACGTTTACTCGTTATACGTATCTTTTACATGCACAAAATTTGTAACAGTTATCACACAAATGTTATTACAAATATACTATTTACTATTATCAGCAACATGTAACTCGATAATCTGAAGAATTCATAATTACTCGTAATTATACAGGGTGTCCCAGCAACGATAGTACCATCAGGAAGGGGGTGATTAGTACACTTGCACTTAACTTTGGTTTAGATGGATAGATCATCAATACATCAGTATAGGTATTATAACCAGGCAGGGGGTGATTCTACGTGAAAAAACAAATCGAAAATAAAGAATAAAATTTTTTCATTCAAAGCTTTGTTTTCAAGAAAAACAATTTTGTATATTCACCAAGTGCACGTGTACTTAACTTTGGTTTAGGTGGCTAGATCACCGATATATCAGTATTGGGAAGGGAATAATTCTACATGAAAAAACAAATCGAAAATAACGAATAAAATTTTTTCGTTTGAAGCTTCGTTGTCGAGAAAATGGACTTTAAATATCCACCGAGTACGTGTGCACTTAACTTTGCCTAAGGCCGATAGGCCATCAGTATACCAGTGTATTTGATGAATATACAAAGTCAATTTTCTCGAAAATAAAACTTCAAATCAAAAAATTGTATTCTTTTCTTTTGCTTCATTTCTGCATGTAAAATCACCCCCTTCCCGGTTGTACGATCGTTTCTGGAACACCCTGTATTTGCTCAGTCTCATTTTCCCATATTTCGACTCATTTTTGACAACTTTCTCATCATTTCTCGGCAAAGTGATAAAAGAATTTTTTGTTCCTTGGAAGATGCTTTTATAAGTCCTGAAAGAACTTTTCATTTCCAGGTGATGCCAAAAATAGCCCTTTTTTAACATCCTCCTTTACTAATTGTAGATGAAAATGCATTGTAACGCCACCGAGTGAAAAAATTTGTATTCTTCTTACTATGAAAGAAATTGTTTCCAACAATTCTGATATTTCGTAGTTTAAGTATACAAATAGCCATAACGTTATAATATTAAAAAAAAAAAAAAGTCGAACATTGTCATGGCCAACTATGTTAGTCCAAACATTTAACTTCGAAACAACTAATTTTACATCATTAATAGACCGCAGAAACCAATGACAAAAAGATAATATGGACACATTCTCCTGACTTTATTTCATAATTCTGAATCGTATTTTATAAAATACTTTTTCTCTACTTCTACTTCATCACGACTTCTCGAAAAAAATTTTGTTGCGAAATTAGGTGTCCTTTGAATGTTTGCTTCTTTCTCTGCCACTACTAGTGAGTGTAAGTACAAATAATGAAGAAAAAAAGGAAGAATTTGTGAAACTTGTAGCGACCAAGTTCTCACCCTCGCCAATAGATGGGTTCCCATTTGAAGGAGGAATAGTCTGGTACATATGTAAGCACATGAAACCGTTTAACGCAAATTTGTACGAACTAAGCTTCAGAGCTTATTATTAGACAGCTTCTCCCAGTCCACATTCATCACCTTGATATAAAGTCGTCAACTGCGTGGCTTACTGGATAGTGTTAGTGATAGTATGTGATAGTGGGGAGTGTCCTTAATCTCTCCCTAAATTATCCTTGACTTTTAAATTAACCCTTTGCACTCAGCAATTTTTTCATTACAGAAAAATAGTAATTCGAAGGTTCTTTACCATGAAATCGACGATATTTTTAAAACGGTAAATAAGAAATCGTATACAAATTAAGACGTAGAATTATTTTACTTCGACATTCCTCGCATCGTTGGGTATGATATATTAATTGATATATATTAATATATTAATTAACATCCATCTCTAGAATCTGATTAAATGGCGACTGAAGGTCGCCTCTCGAGTGCAAAGGGTTAACAACAGTAGTGCAAGACTAAACAGTGTAGAGTGTCCTTCTTGTGAACGGAACTGATCTAACAGGACTGAGAGCAACTCCCTCTTAGAATTCAAATCCTTAAACTCTAAAAAAAGAAGAAAAAAAAGAAATTAAAATTAAGAAAATTTGAAGAAAAATATGCGTTACGTCACACTTTGCGAACAACCATTTGTAATTTCTATTTTGAAAATTTTGCAATATCCATTGGCGAAAATATTTTTGAGCATGTACCTTCAAGAAGTGAAATAAAAACGAAAACTTAATATTTTATAGGTTCTAAACTAGATACCCTCTTAAAAGAATTAAAAGATAATAATGAAATACAAATTATGCTATCCTCACGATCTCAACTATGCTGACTTAACAATTATTTTTTATAGGGCGATTTTGTAGTCGATATTAAAACATGTCCAATGACCTATAATACCTTGACCTCCAGATAACCTAAAAACGAAAAAATTAATTTTGTAATGTTTCAATAGGATACCAACTATAAGTACGTCTCATAGTGCGACGTTGTAAAAGAATAAGATTATGTCGGTCCACTTTTCATTGACGGCATCTTAAGTATACAAAAACACAAAGAATTCCTAACTGAGAAATTGTTTAAATCACAAAGAATGCAGTGCAAGCATTCCTTTATTATTTAAAAAAACGTATCAATGTAGACGGATAGTACTTTGAACACTTACAATAAAAAAAATAAGTTCCACCAGTTCTGTATCCTTTAATTGTCAACTCGTTTTTTACATTTTCGAGATTATCTCAAAGTTATAGTATTATAAGTCATTGAACTTGTTTTAATACCGACTATAACATTACACTATAAAAAAATAAATATTAATATGCCAAAAAGTGTCAATATACTTGAAAAAATCATTGGCATAACCTTGACAGAACTTTTTTGTCACCACCAAATGCACACTTTGAAACCATTCAAACACCACTTTATCAGTTTTTCCTAATTTTCATGATAATAGAAATTACGTAAATGTTCAAATTAAATGAATCTCCCTGTATATGTATGTATATGTATATGCATATATACACATGTGTATTTTTATGCGCATGTATAATCAGTAACTAATACTAAAAAAATGTCAATTATCAAAAGAAGGTAATTAATGAGAAGTCCACATTTAAAATATTAATTAACATTTTTATGTCACACGAATTAATAATAATTCAGTAATTATCAAATACAAAACTTTGACCAAACAAATAAACATATTCTTTAACATATTATTCAAATGTTTGTAAAACAAGAATAATACCAAGAATCAAATACTTTATATACAAAAATTTTATATTTCTCTATCTCAGAATATTAAAGTGTGAGCTGCTATTTATTTTTACACAATAAATTGTAATGTGCAAATATAATATATACTTCAGTAAAAAATAAAATTGTTTAAATATTTAATAATGCATTTAGTAATTTAAATTGTTATTAAAACATTAAAAATATTGAAACTTTTACAAATATAAAAAGATCATAAGACATGCATAATTAATTAGTACATAATATTGATTACACTGAAAAATTTCTTGAAGTTTTAATAAGTATGAATCAGAAAAATTACCACAGAGAGAAACTAAAATCTACACATTTAATTATATTACCTTAATACTAATCACAAACATCTACAATGTATCTCACAAACTCTATCTATCTAAATATCTTTGTTATTTCAAACAATAGGAGAAAATGTCACTTACAAAAGTTATGTTGTTTAAGGAAGTACTTACATAATATGATACAATAGAAGTCAACTTTGTTCTTTTAAATTGGACGTTCAAATTTTTACACTAGACTTTGATAAAATAATATACTCTGAGTATACGAAGTATTAAGAGATATTTGTTCTAAAACATATCATTTTTGAAATATTTTATTTTCTTCATTCTATTACTTGAATATGAAATATATCCAAAGATATGCATGTTACATGAAATATAAATAAACAGGAAATAATATCATAAAATGGCATTGTTATGTTTTCGTTATCTCCCAAATGGTATCTGTAAGTTTCTTGGTTACTAAACATAAGATGGGCAATATGAAAGTAAGAAAAATCCAATTATAGTTCAAAATTGGCCAACATGAAATCCATTTTCAATACCTTTTTCCTTCTAGGAAGCAATGAAAAAGAATTAAATACTTCAAAAGCTATAAGTTTTCGGATAAATGTACCTTAGTATTTCTACACTCAGAATACTTCTATATCTCATTTATGCCCTCACCTATAAAAATACCATTTATGCCATATTTTATATTTTCTTAAACTCCATAACTGTTGTAAATAATATTTTTTTATATTATTTAAAATAATAAAGATATGTAGGTAGATAGAGTTTGTAGGGCACACTATATATATCTAAGTTTATGTTATAACTTATATTTGTATTTAAAAATAAAAATATTTATATGTCCATTTTTATATTTTTTATTTCTGGTTATTAATTAAACGATGTTTTTGGCTATAAATTAAAAGATGTTAATAATACATAAAATAGTAATTAATTTATATCACAAACACATCTAAAAAATTATATATTAACTAATTGCAAAATAAATTATTCTAAATGTAATAATAATTTAATACTATTAGAAATATTAATTAGATAAAATTCTTACTTTTAGTGGGAGTAGCATTCAACGCATCATTATTATAAAAACAAGGCTTTCCTGTTACCAGGACAGCTGGAAAAATATAAAGATATTATGGCCCAAATATTTTAATAAACAGAATTAAAATCTATACATACTTTCTATTCGTTTCAGTAACAAGCCATTATTAACGTAACAATTCCCTTTCATTGCTGCAATAAAAAGTTTTGTGACCAAGTCTAAATCAGATTCTATAATTAAATTGATATTTCTATTTGCCGTCCACGTAATAATTAAACCGTAATCCTCGACCTAAAAGAACCAAGGTATTTAAGCTATAAAAACGTTATTGTATAACAGTTTTATCTATTATTAATTGATTGAACTTCAATACTAATACAAATTTTATGATCAATTTAAAGAATTTATTTTTAATTACTTTAAAGAAATATTATTACAATTATACTATATTGAGTGATACTGTCATGAATTGCAGGCATATTAAAATTATAAAAATTATATTATCAAAATTCTTCAATTACAAAACAATGTAATTATTAATCATTATTGTTACATAATTTTAAGCTAATACTAAGGTAAAATCTAAAATTAATGTAAAATTTCATATAAAAGTATAAAAATTATGAAATCTGTCAAGTACATAAGTTTTTATACATGTATATATTTTTATATGTAAATGTAAAATTTACAAAAATTAATAAATATTTCATTACATAAAAATAAGGCAATAACATATAATATCAATTTTCCTCGCGTGATATAATTGTTTAAAATTCAAAAAATAATTAGAATAAATAGATATAATACCTTTGTAGCATGTGTTACAGCAAGAGGATTATAGCTTTCAAGATCAACTTCAACGAGAATATAAAGTTTGTACTCTGATTGTAGTAAAGTTCCAATACAGTTATTTGTATGTAAAGGGAAAAATGTTTTTCCATAGTGGTATGTTAACCAACTTGAGATATCAACTTTTTGCTGGTAAAAATAGCAATCAGCTAAATAATAAATTATGTTTAAACTATAATAATTTCTTTATACTAACATTACTTAATACATACTTGAGGAAATATAGTGCATAATCTCATATCACCATAATACCATAATAATTCTTCTAGTCTAGCATCACTTTTATTCACACATAGACATGAAGTCATAAATTCATCATTTTCACAATCATTCACGGCAGATTTTGATTCTTAAAGTAATAAACAATATTAAGTTATCTATATCTTCTGATATGTCTTTCTACCTATATACATGTATATGTACTATATATATATTATATATTCAGAGTTTGTATCAAAATTAAATATGAATAGTATTTGTGCTTTATTTAAAAGGTAACATTCATCATAATAAAATCACTACAGTAGAAATAAGATGTGAAGAGAAATATAAATAACTTATAACTTAAATAATTATCATGATACAAATTCACAATGTAACGTAATAGTTTATTAGTACAGATAACAAGAAAAATTTTAACATAAAACAAAAATAAACTTTGAATATGAATAGAACTTAAAACATAAAATAAAAATGTAAATACTAACAGTATAATGTAATAAAATTTTCTACATTTTTTGTAACTTATTCATATAATAATTATTATATTTATCAAAACATTATTAATAATATCAGATTATTATAATATTTTTAAAATATAAGTATTATACATATTATTATACATAATATTATACATAAATTTGTAATTTTTAAAATTAATATAAAATGCATGTCTAATTGATGCAAATATGTGAATAACTTCTAATATAGATTGCATAAATGCATAAATATAATATAAATATACAATAAATAATCATAACAATAAGGAATAAAAGGAAAAATATGAAATATCATATTAAGCTATTAAAATTATACAATCTATCAAGAATGATATTTCTTAAGAATATCACTTATAAATTTAACAATATTTGAATATTGTGTAAAAAACTAAAATATTAAACATCATTCATGATTATAAGTCAAAGATATTTTAAAGCAGCAGATAAAAGCACTGGAAAGTATTGTGCTTTATTAAATCTAATTTCTTTTAACTATAAATGAATCTTAAAAAAGGACCTAAAAATTAATTGTATTAAGTTTTATACAAAAAATTTATGTAAAATATCTCATTCAATAGGATACTTTTATTCATGTGTTTAAGATATATATCAACATTAAGTTATATAATAAAAATATATTATAAATAATTCAATTGTACTATTATTAGATAAATTTATACAATTGTGTAAAAATATTTTAATAATTTTTATAACATTATTTCATATTTTGAAAATATAAATAATTTCTAAATTATATTAAAATTGCATAATTTATTAAAATTTATAGTACTACCAAATGTAAAGGTAAATGTTAATATATTACCTTCATATGAACCTAGTGTTTTGTTATAAAACATTATGGATGGATAAGAGGTTGCATTTCCTTGAAATAAACTACGTAAATGAGTTTTTAAAAATAAAATTCTTCTTGACTGAATTGAAGTTGCTATCATATAAAAAACTGTCAAGATCATGTTGATAAAATTATGTTTGAAATTTTAATAATTATATAACAGCTTGCACATAAATTCCTGAAACAATTAATGTATTCCTTATATTTTTATTGTAATATTTTACCAATTAAATTATGTTACAGTTAAATAATTTTGATAGATTTTGACATTTATATAACACAATAGCTAATTATTTATGCAAATATATAAATCAATATATTATTTGAAATTTGAAAATAAGATATAATTACAGTAAAAATATATTAATTAAATGATATGAACCAAATTTTGTTAATTTTTACTAACATTCATAAATTTCAAATATCATAATGTAAAGCAGCAATATAACAATAAAACTTACTACATAAATTCATAAAATTTATTAAAATTTATTTATTCATATATTTTTTAAATTGAACAAATAATTTATGTCATTTAAATAAAATGTAAAACATCAACAAATATAACCTAAAATATTATACATTAAAATGTTAAGAAAAGAATTTTCTAAAGGATATGACATATAATTAACAAAGGCAGTAATAACTAAATTTTTAGAAATATAGTTTATATTATAATCATCACTCTACAGTTAAAATGACTAAAATATTTATCAATGACCCATCTTTGGTTACTTACAAAAAGAATTTACGTCACATACCTATTTTCAAATGCTACTCTTTATTTAGGTAACTAATAACAACACGAGTAAATAACTTTAAATGTGTTTCACAACCACAAATTATGTACTACTATAAGAACATTATGCAAGATACATTAATTTATTGACGCTTATATAGAATGTAGTTCAACCGTTACGATTATCGACGTAGATGGCGTTGAAACAATGTTAGAAACAAATATGTATAAAAAGTAGTTTTTTTTACTGTGATGCAATTTTTATCTCATTTACAGTATTCCCTGTTTATCACATATCATTATATTAAACAATGTAATACGTATAATACATAAAGATATTAAATAATACAAGTTTATTTAAAAAAGAAACACTATAATTTTAAAATAACAAATTTTAATAGTTACCATTATATTGAAATCATTTGTATTTACTTTATATTTATTTAAATTGAGCTATTCGATTCTAAAATTTAATTTAAGATATGAAAATAACAAATTAATTTATACAAAGAGAAAAATATGTATTATAATATAAAAAAATAAATATTTACGAAAAAAATATAAATTTTTGCATTTTATTTTTTTTAGATTATTCCAGATGATATGAGAATATGTAGGTACATGTACAAAGTAATAGGTGTCGCTTGTATTCTGTATAATATTTATTATACTTATAATTAAAATTATTGTTTTGTAAGTTAAAATTACCTAAAATAAGTTTAAAGTAAGTTGATATATAATTTTGAAAACTTGAAAAATATTGATTTAAAAAAATATTGTTTGTTTATTTCCAGAAATAAACAATTATTTTCTAATACATTTTTCCAATTGTTAAAAATTATCAATAATCAGATGATTTAGATAAGAAGAATAATTGATCACTTGATGCTATAAATGGCATATTTTGGAAAAACTCGGGCTTAATTTCGATTACAAATTCAACACATGATAATTATTTCAATTATGTAAAAAAGATGCATTGTACTATTTATTGTATATTAACGTAAAAATGCATATTAATAATAAAAAATTATATTTAAGTAGAGAAATAGAAATAATAGAAAATCATAGTAATTGTGCAAATATATAATTATCCTGTTTCAAATTTATTCAGAATTTTTCATTCTATAAAAATAAGTAAAAAACTTAAGTTACTATAGTATTATTGCAATGTTGTAAGAATATAAGAAGGAAGTTGTACAATTAATGGGATTATTTCGAATTTTTATTTTTCAATCAAATAATATATATGTTGATTAAAAATTAGTAGGAGTTAATTTATTATTAATATTAATATTAATAATTAAATTTAAACAGTATGTCGTTAAATATTATTTCTATTCATGATGATCTTGAAATTTTGTAAAATGAGACTTCAAAAAAATTTTGTTTAATGTGATATTTATTTTTATGAATAAAATTTTAAGTATTCTATCCTTATATAGTGTACTTCTTTTAAAAATTTTTCCGTTTTAATGGGATATTATTTTAATATTTAGAAATATCTTAAAATCTTAAATGTTATAGAATGTACTTAATATACATATATAGCGGACTACATAAAAAAAATGCTATACGCTGTACTTAAATATGTTTTGTATTTTAATTTTCATTATTATCATTAAGACCATTTTATATTATTATTGTTTGATAAAAAAACGATTAATAATTACTATAAATTATTTTCTGTAAAAAATGAAGAAGTCCTTATTATATCAATATTACTAAATACTGATTTGTTCTAAATGTTGTTTATTGAAAAACTATTATTTACATACCTTAAACAAATCGCTAAATGTTCCTTTATCAATAGTTTCGTAGTAACTTCTTTTATAGTAAATAATCTTATTTTATTAAAGAAAAAAGATATGAATAAATAAAAAAATGATAAAATATATCGTTATCGAAATATATGTATAAATCAATCAATTAAGTATTTTTTTATTTGTATATTTTTATCGTACAATTTTAATTAACATTATCTAAATATGCTGTATTTGAGTGCATATTAAAAGTTAACAGTTCTTATATTAAACTCATATTTATATTATTATTTTAAATGATATTATTTAAAAACATCTTAGTTATAGTTGTAAAATGAAATATTTTTTAAGTATTAAATATATATTACAGAAAATAAGACACTGAAAACGGACATTTATGAAGGTTTATTATTTACATATAACATACGAAAGTTATTTGAAACTAAAAATGTTTATTACATATTTTCATAAATTTTATTATTTTTCTGTTTTCGTGTATTTAAAAGAAAACAATTCACTTTGAACTTCCTTTTATTTTAAGTTTTGTAATAATTTGATACTTTAAATTGTTATCAGTTAGTATTACAATCATTTATTATAATTATCAACAATTTAACATGGTTATATACACTGTGAACTGTTAATTTATAAAGAATATCATATAAGTTTTTATATATATAGACAGAATATTTTTATATAATGTGAACAGAAAACTATAAAACATGCTTATCATAATATATGTTTATCTTGTGCTATATAATATGAAGTTTGTGCAAAATGTGGTGATAATAAATGTGGTGAACGGAAATATAGAACATTTACACATTACATTAATCATAATAGTATTCTATTTTAATGATAATATTATATATGTTTATATAAGATCAAAAAACGGCCCTTATATGTTTATTATTAATTAAAAATGTGTATTATTGGGTACTATTAATTTAAAAAAATATCGATAATAATGTTCATTATTAATTACAAATGTACACGATTATGTATTATTGGATATTAATCTTATAACAAATATTAATAAGACAATAATTTTATTATTTATTATTTAATATCATTAATTTAAAAAAATATTAATAATAATTTATTACTAATTAAAAATTATAAATCTATATTTTTAATAACGTAGTCTGGCTACAACCCGCTAATAATCTTCGTCATCGTTTTCGGGGAATAGCGGACACTGCCTGTGATCATGGAAGTTTTGGCGGAGTTAATCAGCCGTGAGGATATACACACGCTGTGCTATCTCTTTTCGAACACATAATACTTGCTCTTGAGGTATTATTGAAAAAGAATTTGTGAGATCCGTAATTATTTATTTCTAAGTGGTTACAATTTTCAGTTATATCCAGACACTAATTCAGCCGTGCATCCTAAATTTATAATTATGTTTGTTTAAATTAACGTATACGACAGTGAAGTCGAGTCTACGTTGCTGTGTTTGCTCTATGTTTTAGTTTTCTTACTCGTAATATACTAATTACAAATTGCATATATACCAAATAACTAAATAAATACACAAAATATATTATTTTCAAAAATTATTTTACGTGATATTATATTATTTGCCTTTTAATACATAATATATTTATGCTATAGTATTATTTTTTTTATTGATATCATTTATAATTTTGGATACAATCATAAAATTTGTGTATTTGAAGAAATTCAAAGTGTCATAATATCTAATGTCACTTATTTGTGTAATGATGTATTATAAAGTGACAATTTTCATTTGAAGAATCAAAATATATATTCAATCAATTTACAATAATGTTTATTAATGAAAAAAGTACAGTATTTATAAAAATGAAAATTATAAATGTGAATGAAATTATTGAAAAAAAAAAGTGTAATTTTTAGTCAATTAACATAGGTTATTATTTAATACATTCTTCGTGTGATCAATTCCTACTACTATTTTTTACCTGTTTTATTCATACTACATCACTCTGAATAAATAAAACAGTATTATTCCTCGTTTTTATCATTGTATTTATTTTTGTTTTTATTCTTTGAGTTTTCCTTTTTATATAAATTTTTTCCTTTCAATTTCAGATTATGTATAATTTCCTTGACTTTTTTTTTTGTTTTCTTTTATTTTATATTTTGCTCTAAACTCCCTTTCTTAAAAAAAGCAATACATCACCAGATTTTTTTTTTCTTTTTACTTTTGTTTATTCTTTTTAAGCCAAATTTTCTGGGAAAGGTTTTATTAATTCTGGAATGAAATTATAACATATAAAATAAAATAAATTACGTCATTTTAGGTTAATTGTATTGGACATTCAGATATGATCAAAATATTATATATTTATAATTTATAAAATAAGAATTTGTATACAATCTCATTTTTAGGAATAAATATGCAATTTAATAATATGCAAATGTAAGGTAGCAAAATCATTAATACATGTGTAGAATAGAATTAATGATTGCAAAAATTAGTTTTGGCAAGCAAATATGAACAAATATATTAGGTGAAAAACAGTACGAAGCAATGACAATGTTTTTTCTCCTTGTATTTTTGCACACTGTTCTCCTAATAAATGTAATGAAATTGCATTTTCTCAAAATTTTTAAACAATTATTACTTGAGGTCTAATTATTGCTCCTACAATATATCTGTTACTAAAAAATATCACTCGATACACACACACGCGCTCGCGCGCGCGTACACACATATAAAATGGCTATTAGGTTTTATCCTAGAACTTATGTAGCAATATTTATCACAACATTAACAACATTTATTACTGCACACATACAGACAAGAATTAATTAAATACACGCACAATCTGGCGAATTTTTATATTTGTATATTTGTAAAAATTGTATTCTATATTTTTAATTAATTTTTTTATATTAAATGATTTATACATGATATCATTTATTTCAGCACATACAACTGTCCTCAGCTAAAGCAGATTTTTTAAGTTAAAATCTAAATATTTATATTTTACTATTAAATTTTCTCTTATAATAAACATATCGAATTCAGTCATGCAAACATTAATGAATGAATTTAACAACATTAATTTTAACATATAAGGAAATTGGATATGAAACAATACAATTTTCAAAGAAATACATTTTAATTAACATTTCTTATTTTACATTTGATTAATGGATAACATGATTGACATGAATTATCCAATCAGAAAGAGGAACTCGAAAAGATGAGACTTCTGTTCTCTTCAACAAGTATTATATATCCACTACTAAATGTCAAAAGCTTAATGTTATAAATTTCTTTGTTGTTTATTCTCTGTGCGTTTTTTCATCAACTCTTTAGATAAACTAAATTTATCATTAAAAGAGTAACAAACTGAATAGACAAATAAGTATATATTCATTGTTGTAACCAATACATGTAATGTCAAAGGGTAATTACACTTTCTCGACCTGCCCCCACTCCAATCCATTTAACTGAAACATTAATAATTACAATATTTAATTTATATTAATATTAAAATAAATATCTATAATTATAAAGTATTAATCTAATTTTAAATACATTAAAGATGTATAAGTTCAAGCATAATAGTAATTGTTCTAATAAATTTTTAAGCAAATTTAAAAGAAATTTACAGTATATTTTTTTTATAGGATTATATATTTTTGTATAGAATTTTTCACTTATCAATGCAGGACATTTACTAAAATATTTTTATTGAAATATTTTTGTTATAATCAAAATTTCACAAAAATATTTGTTGGAGAATGTTTATATAGTATTGTGAGAGGATTTTCTTTTTAATAAATGCTGAACATGTTTTATTTGTTTGTATAAAATGGGCACTTAAAGACGAACGTAACGATTTGCAACACTAAAGTCCTCAAGGTTATTAAGACACGAGAAATTCTTTCTAATTTCGTGACCGTTTATCCAGCTATTATAGTAATGAAACTACTGCATAATGAAATATTACCTGGTACGCCAAGGTGTTCTTCTATTAGTTGTATATATTGTTTCGCATTAGGAGGTAGTTTCTCCAAAGAACGTACACCTTCTGTCGTTGATTGCCAACCATCAAGAGTTTCATAAATTACTTCCACTTTTGCTAAATCAGAAGTATTACTTGGAAAATAGTCAATTTCCTTTCCATTTAATCGGTAACCTATACCAACTTGAATTTTTGGAAGCGTATCTAGGATATCTAATTTCGTTAAACATATTGACGTATACCTGTAAAAGAAATATAGTATCAATTAAACATGAATTCCTTATTATAATATTTTTATTATATTAAATTGAATTGTATTTTGTATAGCAAATCGTATATTTAGCACTACAGTAGAACCTTGATCATCATAACAAATCGTGACAAATACTATTTAAATAATCGAATTTTTCAGATATTCGGATAACCTTATTTTCATATTTTTAAAACAACATTAAACAATTTAAAATTTTTGAAGGTATTTAATTTTTATTGTAACTTTTATTATGTTTATATTCTGATGCTGAAACTTCGTATAAACAGACCAATATCTTTCATGGTTCCAGTCTCATTTGTATTAAATACATATTCAAACAAATAATTCTCTACCGTCGGAAAATAGGTAAATTCTTGTTTAAATGTATTAGTAGTAGAATTATTTGCTGAAAGTTTCTCACCTGACATGTTAATTTCGGGAATACCATAAATAACACAAACTTTAAAAATCAACCCGAACTGGTTTTGAAATTTGAATTTCCTTATAATCTTTTATTCATTTTTAAGGCTTTCAGTAAGTGGTACACTGATAATCGAGGTTCTACTGTATTTAAAAATGTTCATTCATTGGGTATCCTAAAAAATGAATACAGACAATTACATACAAGTTTTTACAATATAAAGAAATTCTTAACTTACTAATAAGAGAAGGTAGACAACTCAAGAATTTTAAAGATTATGAAACCACGCATATACATACTGCACATCCTCTATAACACAAAGCAATTTCTTTCAATTTGTTGAATATAATTCTACAATGGTATGAGATAAAACAAAACTTTAAATGTACAAAATGTTCAGTGTTTTCAAATAAGTTTTTTTAAGTAAACAAATTTTGTACTTTGCAAATAAACACTAGCAAGATCACATTAAGAAAATACCATTGTGTGGAACATATACACTACGTGTATGCAAAGTTTCATGATTCTTGGATTTTTGAGCCACTTACCTTCTCTTCTAAATATTGTTACAGAAATATTTCTTACCCATTAACCATTCCAGTGAATTTAAGAAGACTTAAATCCAGCCAGCCACAACGCCTCTTTCTATTTGTTGTAACTCCAACTTCATGCCCCCTCCTTTGTAAAAGGTCGCCTGTAGCATTTAAAAGTTCAGTAGGAAATGGACCATCACCAACTCTTGTGGTATAGGCTTTAACGACACCGACAATTTCTCCTATATAAGACGGTGGTAACCCAAGACCGGTACAAACACCACCTATACTGCAGTTAGAACTGGTAACGTAGGGATATGTACCAAAATCTATGTCTAACATTGCAGCATTTGCACCTTCGACTAATACTTTTTTCCCTTCACGTAATGCTTGATGTAAATACTGAACTGTTTCTTTTACTAGTGGTCTTATTCTTTCTGCATATCTGGAAACAGAATAGAGGTATTATTTATATAAGCAGCTTGGATAATGATAGCTTTTAATGTAATAATTGCAGTTTTGGTTACTTGATTGAGTATTAGAGATACTAAGAAAAAAATAGAAGTCATTAAAAATCTTTTTTTTTTTTAAATTGATTTTAAAAATTTGTTGCATAGACATATATTTTATTTGTAATATATAAAGTATACATGTAGTAGGAAATTATATGGTACTGTTGAATACTATACATAAACACTAGAAGTACTAAATTAATCAAAATGATTACTGATCAGTATTTTTTGTATTTCTTGTCTATTGCTATTACTAAAAATATGCAGTTCCTTTTGACAAAAATTAATGTTGATATTTATTGAGATGAAATCATAATTATACATATGTATGTATTTATTTTTGTTATAATTTTTTTTCAATTTTTATTATATTTTCTTATTATTATAACATTTTATTGTTATCAATGTATACTATATTTAGATATACATTACAAGTCGATAATTTTATTGTTAAATTTTGTCTGATAAATTAGTCATTAAAAATTATGTTAAAAAAAGAAGAAATTTTATATAATACACGCGTAAATTTAAAATTTGAGGCTTTAAGTTTACTTAATGCTACAAATCATCAAAATGTTTATGTAACTTTTTTATGAATCTAAATTTGAGAAATGTGTGGTACTAACTATTGAATGTATAAATTTAGCATTTCATGCATCGTGCATCTTCAATTTAACAAATACTAAGTCATTGATACATAGAATCTTAGATTGATGTTTTTACATTGGAAAATAAGTTGGGAAAGAAGCGAAAAATACAAATAAATTTCAATGATAAATTTAAAAGGGATAGTAACAGAAATAACGTACATGTTTAATTTAAGTGAATTACCCTGTATGTTGCGACGATTTTTATATTTAATAATTACTTATATATTTATATAAATTTATATAAATTTAAATTTAAATACATTTAAATGTACATTTTATATTTATATATTAATATAAACAATTTTAAATAATTATGATATATAAGTTAACTTTTTATGCTTAGTAATTCGAAAAATAATTTTTATATTTATTGTAGTAATTATACAATACTATTCTTGGATGTTAGCAAAGATATCGCAAATATAAATGTGACGTGGTGCTGAAAACTAGTGTAGAGAATATATTTCATCTGTGTTGGATAATTTATGACTCATATGACTTTTTGGATAGAATTTAATTGAGCAAGAACTGCATATTTCTGTAATCGTTACACTGAAAATGTTCTAAACTTTAAATATACAGTGAACTCACGCATAATGGGAATTTTTATAATGTGTTAAAAATATTATGACGACTTTTTTTTATATAAAACGAATTTCGTACAACGTGTTATATAATAAAATATTAGAATTCTTTAGGTTTAACCCTCCGTCGGTAATAGGAGGCCGTAAATGACTCCAGCGAAAATCAGATACTCCATCGATAACAGAACCATTAGATAATACCAAACTGAAACATCGTTATGCATAACAAGAATCACGCAAGACTTTAGTTTAGCTTATTTATTAAGCTCACAAATTATGTAGGACATCAGTCCAAAACATATAACGTTTGTGCAATTCATGTTATGATGGAGGGTTAAAATTTTAATTTACTTTAACTGTGTATAGCATTGTTATATGAGCTTTCCAAAAGCATTCTACTGTATTAATTGATAAATCATAGAAAACAAAATTTAACATGACAATAGTAATCCCAAACGTGTTATTTATATTATTCGTGTTATAAGAGGAAAATTTTTATATGGCACGATTTCCTATAACGTAATTTCATACAATACGTAACGTATTAACCGTGTTATATGGGAGTCTATTATATCAGTATTTTTCATTTGAACTACAATGGCGTATCCTCTGTTTCTTATGGGGTTTTATGTGAAAGAAATCAACATCTGTGTTTCGTTTTATATATGAATATTTTATATAAACTTTTCTTTATATTAATATTTTTATTTCATTATCATATAATAATTATTTACTAAAATACTTAAATCATGTACAACTAACTATTTTATATCGTATTATAAATTGTGATAAAAATTTATAATATAGTTTGGCCTTGTAAAACTTCGTAGGCATACCCCTTATTATTTCGAAACCAGATATGATTATAATAAAACTTACTCTAATATTTTCGATATTGGTGAATTAAAATTTGTTATTTATACAAAAATCTTATAGATCAGTTATCAAACGGAAGTGTCTTATCTTTATAAATGAATAGGAGGATACTTGGTGTTATTTTAGTTAGTATTTGTTATCTGCACAGAAATCTTAGATTCCGTTATCAAACGGAAGTGTCTTGTTTTCATAAATTAATAGGAGGATATTTGGTATTATTTTAATCTTCTTATTTCTGAAGTATTTAATCGAAGAATTAGTAACTACCACAAAGAATATATATTATCTTATTAAAACAAATATAAAATTAAATATATATAGGATGATTAATTTAAATTGACTCGATGATTAAACCCTTTGCACTAAAATAACGAGTCTAACTACGTCACGAGTCCTTCATGTCAAATCTCACGATTGTAAGCCACAATAATCACGCGACCATAATTATATTTCACACGTTTTAACGAATTTAATTCGAAGAATTTCTAAAATTTTTATCTAACTTTGTCTCTGATAGGATAAGCATACAGTGGTTAATCAAAATTAAATAATACTCCAATACATACTTTTTCATAATTAAATGGAAGTGCAAGAGGTTAAGATTTAAAAAATTAAACAATTTCAAGCAAAAGTTACATAATTTCAAAGTATATCTTGAAATTATCATTATTTTTCTTTATCTTTATCTTTTCTCTTTCTTCAATCTTATGTACATCTTTCCTGTATGAATCTGCAGAGGACATATAAAATTTAACTTTGTTTCTCTTATATGGAATCATATACTACGTAATATAATAATTTAAACAATTGGATGTTGTTTATAAAAAGAAATACTAAGTCATTTGTAGAGAAAGTTATTAATTTAGAAGAAATTAAAATTTTAATATTGAGTAATGGCATTAGTAGTATAAAAATTGAAAATAAAATAAAAATATCAATTGTTTCACATGTACATAGGAACATAAATATAACACTTAAATTCCTTTTTATTGATATTATTAACCATTTTAAAATGAAAATTTATTAATTAAATAGTTAGGCAGTACTAGAAGATAATTTCTTTAAGTGTATTAAATTACAGTTTCCATTGGTCTCCTTTTATTAAGTTTTGTTTACATTTCAAATTATTTTCTTTAATATATTCGCAATAGTGAATGTTAATTTCTTTAATAAGATTTCCAATATATTTTTTTACTAACTTACGGTATTCTTATTACATAAATAAACAAAAAGTTTCAATTAAGATTCGTTTGTTAATATAAAATATATTTTAAATTATGAAAAGATTTATTATTCTCTATTTCTCCAAATTTTCTCTATTTTCTTCTCACAGTTATGGCCATAAGAAAGAACTATAATTACTAAATATGTAGCTGACAATGAGACAAGTTCATTCATTTTAATCGAATAAATTACTACTAATTTTATTATATTATTTGAATTATAAGATAAATAAATATTTCAAAACTAAAGTTATCATTGAGGACATTTTCTATGATAAACATTTCATAATTTCTTTTGAGGTTAGGTCTCTAGAAAGTATAAAATATAAATAGAAATACGTACTCTTTATAACGTTGAAGTTCTGCTTTAACGTCGACTTGCAAGGATGAAAACATTTTTTGATACGAAGCCACTAGTGCATTAAACTTCTGTGAAAATTTATCGAAGTCTCCGAGAAGATCACCGATCCTGAGCCCATTTCTAGCAGCTTTGCTCGAGTACGTTGGTCCAATACCTTTTTTAGTGGTACCAAGAGATTGTGTACCTTTCTCTAATTCCTGGAGACCATCCACTTGCTGATGAAAATCGAATACTATATGTGCCCTGTCAGAGATTATCAATCGGTCCTGCCAATTTTTCAAACCTTTCGCTTCGTTGCTTTCTAGTTCTTCAAAAAGACCTGGTAGATGTATCACCACTCCGTTTCCTGAAAAATTCACGACAAACGCCATATTAGTATCATAATTATTACAATACGATATTTGTACAAATGTAATCATGGTCATTGTGATTTTTTTATATATTTTATATTCAAATATTTATTATGCTATATAATTAAAGCCATAACGTAACATTAATTAAATAGCGTATTAAATTACTTTCCATTTCCTGGAATAGGTTAGGATTCTTTCGTAAAATAAATATTAGATTTCTATATTCTTATGAATTTACGAATTTTTTTATTTGATTGTTGAGATTTTTTCAGGACGAAGAAATTTTGTACAAATAGTTTTGTATAAATATAATAAATTAGATTATTTTTAAAGATATTCATTTTTCGGGTATATGTTATCATTATATTAGTATACAATTATAATATATTTAGTCATTTATAATTTATAATAAATTAAATAAATTTATAATAAATAATTATATATTTAATAATTTATTATTTAATAGTATATTTAGTAATTATAATATATATATAATATATTAATATATATTATATTATAATATAATATCATTATATTTATCATTGTATATTATCATTTTATATATTATAATTTGTTTATTATTCAGAGTGAACCGCTTTACTCTACTATCTGAAATTACCTATAAAATTATTTATGGAAAGTACTTAATGATCTATAAAATATTTGTTAATATGAACAAATACTGCAGATAAAAATTGTTTAACATTAATGGAAGTATACAATGTAACAATTAGTTTTTTATTATTTTGTTTTTTTGTCGAGATTTTAATTATTTGTTTTTCAAATATAAATGTTACATATTATAGTCAAAAAACTCAAGGTGACCTTCATATCTTAACAAAATAACAAAATAAAAAAAAAATTAATACTTTGCATCCTTTGGTTACTATCAAATAACTTTTATCTGAAACAGATTTTTCATGTAACAACCAGTTTACAAGTAATTTAAAATGGTCGAGTTAAAATACTCATACTATATTATTAGATGTGTCACATATGTTTGTTCATTGCACATACTAATAATAAAAATAAATAAATATCTTTAGAAAATTAAACTATGAAGAAATCTTCAGGGTAAAATAGAAATTTCAATTTAATACTAGAATTGTCAGCCTGTAATATGTATCTAAATATAGTATACCCAAATACTAATAATTAAAATTGTATAACAGGAATTAATAGATATATATAATTATGTTTTTACCTTAATAAATGTCAACGTTAATTTACTCAATAACAGCTGCCCATTAAAAAAAAAAAAAAAAAAAAAAAAAAAAAAAAAAAAAAACAAAAGATATAAAATCAGTGATTATGACTAGTTTGGCATTTCTAGTAATAAACCCTACATGAGCAGTAGTTGGTAACATTCACATAATGATAAACATTCTAGAGTCTAAGGGAACAAAAGGACTTTTGTTGGCAATATTAAACTTATTCGTGATTATTTTGAGGAGCATTAATATATTGCCAACAATAAATTAGTCAACAATTGTTCAAAAATTTCTCCACAGAAAAAAAGACAAAATAATAAAATAATTATAGCATTTGCATCAATGACTCAGAATGATCACTGGAGCAAGGATAGATCTATAATAACCACCTAATAAATAATTTACTATAACAAATATAAATAGTTAAGACATTATTATTAAAATATAAGGTAATTTCGAAATCCAAAATAGAATGCTCGAGCATTTTTATTAGTAATTGTGTTAATAAATTAAAAGTTGAGAAACATATATTATTATATTGCTATAGTATATTATAAATTAAAATATATATATTATTGTTATATATTTTTTAGCTTTTTTAATTTATTAATAAATTAACTTTACTTGCACTTAATCTAATGTTTTTTTAGATTTTACTTTGCGTTATAGTTGCTGTTCTATCCTTTTTTATTAATAGAATATAATCATATATCTAACTTATGCAGTGTATTATAGAAAAGTTAAAATTATAAAGAGGCAATTCTAACTTTAGAATCTAGTTAATTTTATTGGTTCTAAGACTCGGTAATCCGAAACTTTAGTGTCGATTCTGTCCTCACTCGACCATTCTTATTTCATCACATTCTAGTTCTTGCTTAACCCTTAGTATTCTTTATTTACAGCCTACATTGCAATAATTCTGCACCTACTTCTAAAATAATTTGTACTATTGATTTAAAAGTCTTGTAACATTTCTACTGCACTCGTTTATGCATATTTCTTTCTCAATTCCAAACGCGCTTGTCCCTATTGTGCTATATACATTCTGGTGGCAGTTACATGTTTAACAAGCAATAATTGCATTATATACTTTAACATGAGTAAGCATCTGTTTGCAGTGGACTCACTTGCTATAAATATCAAGCATCATATGATAATGTAGTAATGTCATAAAAGTACGTGGCGCTTTTTTATTGTGGTTTAATTTTATTCTAGTATTTAATTTTTAAACGAATAAACTGGCCTTGTTCAGAGTTTAAAGAACGACTCACGAGACGAAAGCAATTCCTTTCACCAGCTGATTCCCCACCACTCCCAGATTGACCTTGACATTTCAGCCAATAAAGAAAATACGTGTGTTCTATTTCTTGATTGTACTAGCAGGGGTGGACCAATCGGACCTATATCCCTTTCATATTGAGAGTAATGTATAGTGCAGAAAGTACGTTTAGTTAATACGAAAATGATAGAAAATAAATGGCCAATCTAAAATCGTTATTTTATTTACACTTTAACCAGAATACATTCATTACAATTTATACGGAACAATTCTGATCGATTAATAAACTAATTTATTCCATTTATGAATAAATTCTAGTGTCCTTCGATTAGTCAATATCTTAACTGTTTTCAATTGTCATGACTTCTGTGACAGGGTTTAACTGCTAAATTAAAAAAAGAATTCTTACATATTGTAACAGTATAATAATATTTGTATGTTATAAAATTTCTAATACATGAACATTACAGTAACTTTAGAATTGATTTAAAACGGTACAAAATTAATAATGTTTATAAAGTTAATTTCGAAACATGCTTTATGTTGAACTATTTTGTTTAATCTCATAACACTTTTTCCCATTTCTAGAAGTTTTAAGGACCCACATTGAATTGTAAATGATATTCACTTAAAATGAACATATTTATTACAAAAATGCATCAATTGAAAGCACCATTAATTGCAAAATAAGAAATTTCATTATGGTATTGACTTTAATCTTACTGACATAAGTTTGAGATTTTTATTCACGTATATCGTATCATTTTAAATACGTTAATTTAAATTAAAATATATATTTTATTAAAACCAGCAAATGTAGAGATTCGAATACTTTTGTGCCTAAGTATATATATACATTCGTTAATAGAAAGAATTCTTAACGTCTAGCTTAGAAATCTCTTATATACCATTTTTATACGGTAGTCTGGTTGCAATTAGAGGATTACAGTAAGGATTCCTTGAATCCTATTGACAAGACTACTACAACTTTAGGCTTTTCAAATAAGCATCCTCAGGCCTGGTTATTTGATCCTACGCATGAAACCTTAAAGCCACATTTACATTGGATAGCTTTTGATTGATTGATGGAATTGATCGACTTCAAGTCGTTGAACTTAAAGGTTTATATTAAGGTCTTGTTCAATATTTTTGTGGTTCAAGGTGTTAATATGTTACATAAAACAGCATGTTTACTCTTGGATTTAATTGAAAGCATGCAACTTCGTGAATAACCCATTTAAGAAAATAATTAATATGTATTACAGTAATGTCGATACTTGTGACTGGCATGTCAACAAGAACAGAATAGAATGCAAAAAGAAAAAAAAACATGTACATGTATAAACTAAAGTTTAACTCATATGTATTGCTATAGTTCCCCGGCAACTTCAATTTTATAATATTTATATCATCCATTACAATTGATATTATTAGATTGTTCGACCAAAATTTGAAATCGTTCGCACTCGATTAATATCGTGTTTATACCAGAAGTTGCCTAATGTAAACGCGGCTTAACTTAACACGTATCACGATTTATTGTTTCCTGTTAAGAAAAGCGCGGCAATGTATCGTGATATTGATGGAGTCATAAAAATCATTTCAAGTATCAAGTATATATTGCAAGACCAAGAAAGAATTCTCGTATTATTAAATAATAATAATAATTAAATCCTACGTTTGTTAGTTAATAAACAATTTAAGTTTTATCTTCTAAAAGAAAGAATTAGAAGAAACATTCTTTTACCGTTAACATAGATTTACATTTATTTACTATTTTTTAAATTAGGTTAGTATATTTAAGCATTTATAATGACGAAAAAATAATTTATAAACTATATCTTCAAAAAATTCGTGTCTGACTTTTTAATATTGTTTTAAGGTTATGTAATGCTTTCTTCACTTTTTTATTTGTTTGGAATGATACCATAGCACAGATCTGGCAAAAAAGGATTGCCGGGGAGAATCTCTCAGTCTGCCCTACTCCTAACATCCCTTCGTCGTTTCCCCCACGCTTCATACCGACACTACCGAGGATCGAGTGGGAAAATAACGGATGTTGCTTACAGAATTTTATTCTTATGTACATCGCGACAGTTCTGAGCGAACCTCAATAATACATCTGTTCAATGTTCTTACGTAGCGGTTACTAGTTTTCCCTAGTTAGAGCCATATAGTTACCTAAGAACGCCATTTTAACGTTAGAAGTATTTTGTTAATAATACAACAAATGAATCGGAATTATTAATAACTAAATAATTTTTAGACAATGCTCGTATTGCTGGATGGCATTCGGTTAATTCTAAAATTAACTAGTCAAAACCAGTTTTAACTAATTTTTGAGTTTTACAATTCAAAGTAACGAACTTGTTAATCGTTTTAAAAAATTATGATAAATTCCCAAATACCCAATAAATTTTCAAATTTACTTTTTTTTCTGTAAATATTCTAATATTTTTGGAGGAGAATATACAAGGCATGAATTTGGTAAAGTAGCCTTAATACATTATCTCTTCCCTGTCTTTTCTAATATACTACAGCACTAAAAGAATAGTATTATAAAATTATCAGAATATTATCGCATAATTCTCTGTAGCAATATCCCTCTATAATAATTAAAGTTTCTCCATATCTACGGCTTAAAGGAAATTGTGATTATCTGTTAATCAGATCAATTTGCGGTTATCTCGGTACTGATAACCGTGTTCGAACAAAAATCAGTTGCACTTTGTCAGTTTAACATGTAATATATCGAGAATGTTGTTATATAATCTGTGCCAATCACATATATATCAGAGAGGGAATATATTCTTTAATACCCTATAAGTTTAAGTTTATCGTAAAAATTGTCTGCAACATATTTTAAATTTAAATTACGTAATAACATATATCACCATATACACAGTATATACTGAGTGAGAGACTCTAGATAGAACATGACATTCAGTTCTTGCATGTTTGTGACTCACCATATATATATTACAACAATGAATTTTCATTTTCTGATCACATAAATTTATAAAGCTTGCTATGAATATTTCAATTAAAGACTAGTATTATATGTGTACGATAAAATTTGAAATACTTCAATGTTAGATTTTGTAAATAATAAAGATCACTATGGATGCAGTTAATAACAGCTGGAGGGATCAATCATGGTGTGACGGACCTTGCATTGTAATCATGTATGGCTTTTTATTTTTCAGATTAATAAAATGTAACGTATATTTTATATATACGTAAAATAATTTTTATTTCACCTCACATTAATTTGTTGTTAGTAATGTACTAACATTCTAAGACATTGAAAAAATGTACATGGTATGGTGTGTTGTGAGACACGAAACCAAATATTACACCTAGGTGTTACCGTTATCAGCAAGTGTTATATGTTTATCCAGAGATTAAAGAAGCACGATATCTCATATTGACGTATGCACAGTAAAGGACGTGTATGTATGTATATGCAAAATTTAATAAATAGTAATGATCTTTTCGTGTAATTACCTCAAAAACTAGAGCCGAGCGGCGATAACTTGTATAGGGAAAAATTGTTCAGATTCATTTCTTTGACAACATACTACATGGTTACACAAATTTGTGAGAACGTCACTTTTCTGCATAATTATTGAAAATTCATCCAAATTCCATTAGAATTTTATAACATTAGTATTATAGACATATAATACAAATATTATGAACAAATATCGTTTCAAAAGCAATTTCTATGCTTAGTTTTTGAATACATTTTATATGCGTAATAATCTAGAAATTTAGTCAATTACTGACAAAGTAATCAAAGTTAATAATTTGCGTTTATTACATATTTTAAAATAACATTTTATTAAAAACAAAAATCTAGATATGTATATCTAATATACTCGAGTAATATAGAGCAATTAATTTTTCTGAGATTGTCAGATGTGATAAAAAGATATTTATTGATATGTTATTGTAGGTTATGTATGTACTTTCCCGTGAAGGAAGAGGAAGAAAACGAAAAATGAAGAAGAAAGATAAGGGGATCTTTCCTTATGAGAACAATTATCCAAATGATAAACACATATTTAGACAGTGACAACAGCTTTGAACAGTGGCAAAGTTCAAAATGCTGAAGTTAATAATATATGATTTTAGATATTGTCATGTAATTCGTTTTTTATTGTCTTATGCTCAACAACTACAGAAAATTTATAGACAAATTTTTATGAAGTCAAATACAAAAATTTATTTTATGTTTTACATATAATAGCAGTGAAACATTGAAATATAAATTTAATTAAAATATTGTATTGCATATTTCTGTACAAAATGAATAACAAATATAACTTTATATATTTTTTTTGTGACAGCTTTAAATTAAGTCTTTATACCCAATTTTGTTTACTTATAAGAAGAAAAAATTATAATTTAATAGTTTCTTATTTAAATTTAGGATTTAGAATAAATATATAAAATTTCAGTTTCAATTTTTGTAAGATGTAGAAAGAAAAGAACAGAAATTCAAAACTTAAGGTATTATCAAGAAAACATTTACTAAAATATTATTTACTGCCGTTAGTAGCAAAATTATTAGTTGAAATTATTAATGTTATATAAAACTAGAACCTTGAATGTATGTTAGATATTCTAAAATTGGTTTTAAACTATTTTGCAGTAGATCCTACAATTTTTAAAAATGAATATAACTGGTAACATAACATAACATAACATAATGGTAACATAAATGAAATGAAAAAGGAATTGAAACAGAGGTAAGAAAGAATTTCTTGAAAGATTGTTCATTAAAATATACTTAATTAAGTAAAGTGAACAGAAAAGATAATCGGTTCAAGTAATAAAATTTAGAATGATTCATTGACTTTTTGATAAGATTATACTTTTAATACCATTAAAATAAACTGTACAGCCTATAAAAGATAATAAATCTTAGTTTCTTCATAACATCAGTTTATAGTATTATATATTTACTAGTTGTAATCCCCTAGTGATTTTTTATTCTCTATTATTTAGAAGAATATTTAAAAACTAGTATCTAGAAAATTTTTATTTTATATTTACTGATTTTAAATATCTAGTGATACACAGGTAAAAATACATAATATTTAATTGAACAAAATATCTTCATATTTTAAATAATTTTAAAACATCAGAACAGGAAAGATAATATTCCATAATGTGTGATAACACAGAACATTATCAGTATTTTGTTTGCAGTTTAATAAATTTCCATATCTAAATATCAAACATTTCAACACAAACAATAGAATCAAACTGATTTTAATATCTGTAAGCATTCCTTAACCTTCTATCACATTTATTACCAAAGATTAAAAGTATCTCTTAGATATATTTTTAATATTTTTAACAGAGTAAGATAACAAAAAAAACAAGAAAGATCAAATAAAATTCTTTGCACAGACACATTCATATAAAAATTTTATAAAATTAAGTCATATAAATAATTAAATTTTTGTGTGTATAAAGTGTAAACATATTTATATTAAAAGAAAAATAGTACATATCAATTGATTTATAAAGAAAAAAACAGAAGTCAGATTTAAATATTTGTTTCCTTCATATCATAAGTAAAATTTAAGAAGTTAAAGTACTTTAAAAATAATTGATGATTCATAAAATAAGAGAAATAAATGTTATATAACATTAGTGCATTGTAGTAATATAATATACTAATAATATCATATTTATACAGATAACATGTAAATATACATGGCTGTTAAAGTTGTAGCGACCAGTGAAGATTAGAATATAATTACCTTAATATTTTAGAATATTAGCTAATACAATTCTTATCTTCAAAGGAACTTCTTCATTGGAACAAATTCTAATCAGTCTATCTCAATAATATCTTCTCATTATTAAGATAGAAAACATTTGGAATACATAAGATCATAGATAGAAAGAAAAAATGAAGATGTAAACAAACATTAAGTATAAAATGCAAGAGATTGAGAAGAAAAATTTCTCAACTGTAAGGTAGATGGGATCACATATTTTATACTAAGTATATACATACTAATATCATATAAAAACTATAAAGTATCATTAAGCTTCTTTCTACAGAAGCTCTGCGTTATTGAATATTTTTGTCTTATAAGGTATTTCATCAATGTTAGACAAGAATAAGATCTAATGATCTCCTATTGTTAGATTTTTGATTAGTCCTAATCAGTTTTCTTAATTATTGACTTTATATGTTCATATAATTAAAAAATATTAATACCTGAAGATTTTTAAAGGTAGTTCTGGTATAAAGAAATTATAAACGTCATATATATCCTTTGAAGCCATTTAAATTATGTGTTGCAAATTGTATCTTGCACAGATGTACAGGAATGTATCTTCATATCCAACATGGTTACTTGAAAGAGCTCAGTTCTCTTTTTCACTTTTTTTCTTTTCTTTTACCTTTATCTTTCCCACTTTTTATTTTTCAGTCACTTTGATTTCGAATTACTGAAATTTGATTAAGAGCCATCATAATCGAAAGATAATTACCTATAAGCGACGTGCATCTAGGATTGATTATTCCACTGGGCAGGAGATGGAAGTGGAACTCCGCACCGTCTACTACTACAGTATGCCCGGCATTGCTTCCTCCCTGTAAAATTAAAATTCTTCTTTTGCTCCAGTGCAAACACACTTTTTTTCTTTACTTTTATTTCGTACTCTTTAATATTTCCATCGATGGATAAGAGAAAAAGCTGTTTAAACTGTGTGGCCGTCGATTGCTATTAATTAGACACCAGGGTAATAATGATAAGATGAACAGTCCAATTTATTCTTCAAAATGTTGACCATAGTTAAATAGCGTTACCTATGACGAATTAGTGAAGTTTTGAAGAAAGCATACTTTAAAAAATACAAGATATCGGATTTTCGATGGTCTTTTCGATGAGATGTTAAATGTAAGTAGAATCGAATTCTATGAATGAGGTGTCAATAACTGATACCTAATGAGTGAACTGTGAATGTTTATACAAATGTATATTTGTATAGAAAATCGCTAATTATAGTTCGAGATAGAAATTCGAGATTATTTACAGACTAGAGTCCTGGATAGAAATTCGTCTTGTTTTTAAATGATTTCAACACAGTACTGCTTATTTTGTACACTTTACATGTCTTACATATATTTTTGAAGAATGTACATTCATATACGTTCAGTATATATATTTTGTAAAATCGGGTATTATTTATTTGAACGCTTGAACAGATTTACTAACATGGAGGACTCAATGAAGAACGATGAATTATTGGTAAGATTAATGAATCGTACAAAGACCTATCTATATCTCCTTGTGGGGAATAAAGTACTAGTTAACCTTCACTGACGTCAGGAGTCGATGTGCAGAAATAATTAGACTAAAAAGAAAGTCTGATATATTGAAGCAATTGAAGAATATAAATTTAGGGTAGAAAGAGCTTTAGGGTAATATATAAGAAAGGTGACAATGCAAAGAAATATTTTTTTAATGAAAAAATAAGGAATACCAATAGAATTAACTATAAAATACACACTACAACCCAATAATGCAGTAAAAAGAACAGATGCACGTTTGCAAAAATTATCAGGTATGTTTTGGCAAGCAAATGTTTTTTAGTAGAATAACGTTAACCCTTTCATGAGTAAACGTTTCGGTAGCCTTACGACGATTTTCCATTTAACTCACTAGCGCCACCACAGCTTATATCTATACTAAATGTTTGTCGTAAGTATTGTAGATATCGTTGAATTATTCTCTAATTTTACTTATATAATCTTGGAATTTTCTTCTTACTACGTGTATCATATTGCTCCCACCATATTTTCACAAATTTTTTGGCCGTACATGAACAACCTTACTCGTGAAAGGGTTAATTATTATTTGTTAAATAACGTATTACAATTAGCGTGGTGTCCTGTATTAAATAATAAATTGAAAAATAAGATTTTTTAATTGAAAATTTATTTTGGAAATAACATTCGGAATAGGTATTGAATAATAAGTATAATAATAATCATAGTAGCAATAATAGTAAAGAGTAGTAATAAGTACTTAACGCTTCATATTAAAAAACCAGTTACTTTCATCCAAAATAACAAAAATCATAGCAAATAACAAATTTTACGAAGTGATGAATAAATCATTTAATTGTAAACACATTAATTTGCTTTGTGTATAAAATATTTCATATAATATTTATATTAATTTAACGGTAGAATATTTTTTAAATAATTTTCAAAAGTAATTTCAAGATAATGATATTTGAAAATCCCTCGCAACGTTTAGGTCTGCAAGAAATAAATGTTCGATAAGTAAGTGTCCAGCTCAAATAGAAACGAACAATAAGCCACAAATAGGATTTGTAAGGATATTTTAATGTCGAGTGATTACGTTAAAGAAAGGCTGTCGACGAGGTTTCCAAGATTAGATTATCGCGTAGATTGCTAGTATTCCTAAACATGACTCTGTTTAACACTAAACCTATCAACAATTTACATATACAGTTATACACGAAAATATTCCAACATCTACATTAGTTACAAGTAAAATATACAAGTAAAAACGTTTAAAACAATATCAGTTACACAGAGTACTTCAGAAATAGGTGGTCAAACAATGGTATCGATAAAAATCCAAAATGATACTGGAATAAAATGGCGCTAAAGTTTGGCCACCTATTTCTGAAGCACTCTGTATAGCAAGGTAAGGTCACAGTACATTTATTGGAGTTACGAACCACGGTGACACTAGTGTATTCAATGGAAATATGTATGTTTGTCATAGTAATAAGAGATGGATCAACATATTAAAACTTGATTTTTTAATTAAACATGCTTTCTTAGCATCTTTGTTATAAATATATTATAAATATATTATAAATATTGTGTGTATCACTGAATTTTTTTTCAATTTTACTGATGTAATATTAGTCCAGATTAACGTTTATTATATTTTTATAATATTTATTATATTTCTACTAAATCAATCAAATGACCGATCTTCAAGTAAAAGCGTATATACTTTATAACTGGACGCAAACAATATTTACTTTAGCACAGACAAATAAACAAAATAACTTTTAATAAGCTACAAATGACATTACTTTTTTATCTGAATTTTAAAGAAGGACGGAAAATTAAAAATAAACAATAGTCACTTAACCTTGTACACTTGAAAAGCAAAAATAGGTATCTCATTTTTGTTTAGCGTATTTTTTATAGATTATAGGTTTCATCATTGTAGATTTTTCGCAAATATATTTCTTATTTGAAACAAATTTTCGTAATCTTATTACCTTTACAATATTTTATTTAATGTATTATAAATAAAATTTTCAACCAGTCAAGTGCGTTAGGGAATGTAAAAACAAGGTTATGGTCGGATGACTCAATAGGACTTGATCTGATGAAGTGTTGTTAAAAGGCTATTAAAAATATTAAAAGAATACAAGAGTCATAAAGCAAGAAACTTTACATCACAGTACACATTGAAACAAATGGTGAACTAACATGCGTGGATGCTGATTGGTCTAAGGATGCTACAAATATATAGTAATATTAACTGGCGATGCAGCAATTTATTGTATTAAAAAGCAATAATGAGACGTTTTGTGTCCAATAAAAACCAAATATGTAGCTTTCTCTGAAGTGTATATAGAACTCGTACATGTGGGAATAATATTTATATTTACCCTCCGTCGGTAACATGAATTGTACGATCGTTATATATTTCGAATCGAGGTCTGCATAACTTGTGAGCACAGTAAACAAGCTGGTTTGAAATCCTGTGTGATCCTTGTTATATATAGGGTGTATCCACTTTTCGTGGAGGTTATTAACTCTTACCGGGAGGATAAAGTGAACGAGGAGTGTCTCACAGAAGAATATAGATGTATTGTAGATAAATGATATTTAATCTAGAGTATCAGAGTGAAAAAAATCAGAAAAATTATTATACTTTTAAATTAAAAAAAAAAGAATTAATAATTTTTAATTTCTGGCAGTAATATTAAAAGACAAAGTTTTTATAAATGTTAGTTTACTCTTTTCTTATATCTACTAAGTTTCTAATTATAACTACAGTAACGATTGTGTGTCAATTACAATGTTTATAATAAATGAATATTTATAAGAAATTGTATCGCTTAAATTGTATTCCACTGTATAATAAGGATACGATATATAACCTATGTATTAAACTTGGCAAGCATGTACCAAGCCCGTGACCTTACATGAATATACAGTGTCTCACTCAACATAACCTCGAATACTGTCTCTATAGTGAAATATATATTCCGTTTGCGTAAAAAAAATATATTTACGCCTGAAATTATAGCAAATGGATTCTATGTTAATGTCGTGCAAATTAGATGAGATAATTATAGCGGAAGAACTAGTTCTGTTACATTTTATATTCATTTACGTAACCTTTATGAATACAATTCTTTTATAAACTATCCGTTATATAAACTTCCTCACCCATTTTGTTATTATTGACCATAAGAAAGAAAAATATTTTCGATACTAAATATATATAAAATTTATTTATTTATAAAATAAACAATTGTGAGAAAACAACGAATTCCTTCAATCGTCATTTTTCTGATAGTGACATAAATAAACAAATTCAGACAGTGACATGTTTGTTCATTTAAAATAAAGCATTATGAATATCGTTTCATTCGTCACATTTTTCCCTTCTATAATGATAGAAAAGGTATCGGTGTAACCGTTTATCTTAAAGATGTTGGCAGCTGGGAACAGATTTCTTAACTCAGAAAAATTTATCGTTTGAACGGGAGGACTGTATTATTTTGGAACAAACGTCTCAAGAAACATAAAATTTACATTAACTGTTGTTATAGGTTGCATTAAGAATCAAGGTTGAGCAACTACGAAGCCAAGGTTTGTACGTAGATCTTTGAATAACTTGTTATCTAGTATATACAGTACTGTTCACTTAAATGTACGTATGTCGAAATTTCTCTTTATCTTTCATAACCTCAAACATTCATCGCGGAAGAGAATTAAGGGGGTATCCTAGTCTAGAGGTCTTTTTACGTGATATTTGGGATTCTTTTTTAAAAACCATAAAGACATTATTGTTTCGGGACTTGTGACATGGTTTTGACCTATATTTCAGGAGTATACATTATTTCTTTTATAAAAAAATATTGAAAATTGTCGAAGATACAGCTAGTTTAGTAGTGCCTCGTCAATTGAACATGCCTACACGGTTGCCACGATTCCGGTTGTTCTTCTTCTCTGAAATGGACAAACATCCATTCTATTCAGTATGAACGTGACCAAACATCGGTACCAAAAGTGTATAGAAACATTGAAAAGAGAGTTTTTGGCAGCACTTTAAAGTTAGGTTTTCAACAATTTTTTGTTCTTTTTTTAACTTTAGCGTACCAAAAAAAATAGTTAAAAACGTTACATTTTTTAAATTTTGGTACGGACAATAGAGATACGTGTGCTGAAGACAACCTCTAAATTTGATCGTAATCAGTCAACTAGAATTCGAGATATCATGGCAACCATTTGGAAAAATATCGTTTCAAGAAAAACGCATTTAAAGTATTTCATACCAATATGTCTATGTGTCGCACGCA